AATAATAAATAAATAAAGGGGCCTGCAGGGCAGGCTCCGTGCAGGGGTGCAACCATTTTGGGCTCACACATCAAGCTGCCTCCTCCTGGACTGTGCCTGGGGCTGAGGGAGGAGCAGGGAAAAACAGTACCCACACCCACACCCAGCCCTGTGTTCCTGCAACCGCAAACCCCCCCTATCGGAACTGGAAGCTGGGCAAGAGGACTAAGGTATGCCTCCCTCAACCAGTGACCTCCCACCCCACACACAAGCCAAGCCCAGAACACTCGACAGAGCCAGAAGCAGGATAGAAGCCCAGGTGGCTCACCAACACTCCCGTGACTGGCATAGCACAGGAGCACACAGAAGCATCAAGAGTCCTCCCAGTGCTGCCCTGCTTCATCACTGGCCTGCGCTTTATCTGTCCCTGCTTCCCCTGATCCGAAGGACCTTCTCTCAGGTTGTGCTGATGGTTGGCACCTGTACTGACAGGTGCTCCATAAACCTGAAGAGTGACCGAAGCTTAAATGAACAGTGCCCCCTTTACAGACTTCAGGGAACATAGGGGTGGGTTTCATGTTAAACACACACATGCCTAAATACCATAGGACACTAGCAGCTCAGAGTCCCTTTTATTACCATTTGGTTTTCAGCCTCTAGTACTTTCACATAAAAGGGGGCTTTCCCCCAAATTGTGTTGCTCTAAATCTGATTCCAGGCCTGTTTAAAGTGCTACATGTGAAATCAGATGCCAGGTCTCCATTCTCTGGTTCATGTGCAGGCAGTTTTGAGTTTCTGGTGGCAAGCCTTTTAGCAGTCCTGGTGAGTAAAGGTTGTCCTGGGAGAAAAACCCCATTCAGGTGATGAGAAGTGCTTGTGGATGCACTTGACGCCCTGAGGGCACTGACTATCAATATATGGCCCATGGAAGGTATGTGGTGTCATAGCTCTTGTGTGTTGGAGCAATTCTGAAAATTTACACAATGGCTATTGAGTCTCATCTTCTAGTTGAGGAGAGATTTATTCAGCACCCTAATGTAAGCACCCAGCTCTGACCAAACTTCTCTGGGGGTGGTGGGGCCTTTTCAGTTAGCTGTGCCAAACTTTGCCTTCCTGGGCAAAGGATGCTGCAGTACAGTGGGGAAGAATGCTGGCTTGGTTTTCTGAGCCTGCGGAAATTTCCCAGCAACCTCTGGGGTCCTGCAAGAAAGCAAAGTGTGGTGGTGCATGAGAGTGCCTCAGGTGCACACAGCTGCTCTAAGAAAGGCATGCCTAGCAGTGACCCAGCCACATTTAGTGAAGGAATGGAAATGAAAGGAGACTAGTTTCTCATAAAAGTCTTTTTACTCCTGGTTTCTACCTGCTATAACGAGTCTTGCTGGTCCTTAGCTGGCTGAATGAACAAAACATTAGCAAAGACAGTTAAAAGATTGAGATGACAATTTTGTTGGCTCATATTCCCTATTTAAGACAGTTTAGGAGTCCCCAGTGGAACAAATGCTTAATGAGCATAACAGCTAATGGAAAGGTCAGAGGTTCACACCCACTCACGGGTGCGGCAAAAGTAGTGATCTCCTTCTAAGTAGGCAGTCATGAAAACACTCTTGAAAGAAAACATTATAAAGTATAGCTCTACCTTGACACACAGAGAGGTGATGCTGCTGATGGTGGTAATGGTGGTGATGCTCTAGTACTGATGGTGGTGCTATAGTACTGATGGTGGTAATGATTGGTAGTGCTATAGTATTGATGGTGGTAGTGATAGTGGTGGTGCTATAGTACTGATGATGGTAGGGGTGGTGGTGCTATAGTACTGATGGTGGTAGGGGTGGTGGTGCTATAGTACTGATGGTGGTAGGGGTGGTGGTGCTATAGTGCTGATGGTGGTAGTGGTGGTGGTGGTAGTAACTGTGGTAGAGATTGTATTACTAATGGTGGTGGTGGTAATCTTGGTGGTAAATATGGCAGTACTGGTAGTGGTGGTGGTAGTGATGGTAGCACTGGGGTTGGTGTTAGTGACCATGGTAATGTTGGTGGTAGAGATGGTAGTGGTAGTGATGATGATGATGATGATGATGATGATGATGATGATGGTGATGGTGATGATGGTGGGGAGTTCGGGGTGGTGATGATGGAAGAGAGAGTATTACTGGTGGTGGTAATGGTACAAATAGAGATGGTGGTACTGGTAGTGGTGGTGGTAGTGATGGTAATACAGGTGGTGGTGATAGTGGTAATAGTGACTATAGTGGTGGTAGTAGAGATGGTAGTATTGGTGGTGGTGGTGGTGCTGGTGGTAGTGGTGGTGCTGGTGGTAGTAGTGACCATGGTAATTGTGGTGACGGTGGTGGTAGTGGTGGTGGCAGTGATGGTAGTACTCATGGTGAGGATGGTTGTAGTAGTGACCATAGTGGTGGTAGAGATGGTAGCACTGGTGGTGGCAGGGATAGTAACTGGCAGTGGGGGTTGTGGTAGTAGTGACCATGGTGGTGGTGGTGGTGGTAAAGATGGAGTACTGGTGGTGGTGGTGATGGTGATGGTGGTGGCAGGGATAGTAACTGGCTGTGGGGGTTGTGGTAGTAGTGACCGTGGTGGTGGTAGAGATGATAGCACTGGTGGTGGCAGGAATAGTAACTGGCAGTAGGGGTTGTGGTAGTAGTGACCATGGTGGTGGTGGTGGTAAAGATGGAGTACTGGTGGTGGTGGTGATGGTGATGGTGATGGCGGTGTTATTTGAGGATGACATTCTTGTTCCCTTGTCAACTATGAACTGTGGCTGAAGCTGCTGGGACCTTTCCTGAGTGAGGGTTGTGAGGTCAGCCACAGGCTGCTGGTGACAAAGGCAGTGTGCTGTGGGGGAGCTCCATGATACAGTGCAGGAACCAGACAGCTCAGGGAAGCTCCAGCAACCCATGTGTGAGTACTGTGTGCTCTCCCTTCTGTGGGTGTGTTAATCTGTGTGAGCCGGTCTGTGGGAGGACAAAACCCAGTGTGGTTTTGTGAGATTATTGAAGAGCTAACTTCTAAAAAATCTGCACAGAGACTATGTTATATTTCACAACTAGGTTTTCAAAGGAACTGGCCCTGCATAGTTTATGAGTTTTTTTAATCTGTGAGTGAAACTTTCCACAAGTTACCTTAAACCTTTGAAGAACCAGCTTCATGTGAGATTATGAATAGCAAAGAAATAACATAATTATGAGGAAAAGTCAACTCACTTAGACAAGATGTCAACAGTCTGCTGTGTGGCCAGGGTCCTCTTGTCCTGTGCTCCATATAAGAGGGTCTGAATCTGAAGACACTGCAGAACACCAAGTTGTATTCACAAGGTTATAAAAAGGTCACTAGGAGCTTTGTGGTTTTTTTTAAAAACAAAATAAAACCTCTCAAATGAGAGAAAGCATTCTTTATTCATAGGCCTATGCTACAGCAGGCTTACTGAGTGTTCTGGATGCCTCTCTGGGGCAGTCTAATAGCAAATGAGAAGCTCTGGAGGATTCAGGCACCACATGTACAGTCATGTCATGGTGCCACAGAACTTTTATTGAGTACAAGTATGCGTTGAGATTTTTAACAGCTACAGCTTGTTTAGCTCCACAATCAACTTGGTACCAGCAGCCAAGAAATCAAAAGATGAATTGGAGTGAGAAAATGTGCTGTCAGGGACCTCTCCAGAGTACTGAAGAGCAATGACGTCAGACTAGAGATTAAGGCGTGCCTGATCTTTGGTCTTTGCAATTATTTGCTATGCATCAGAGATCTGTACAATGATTAAGGATAAGAGAAGAAGAAGAATCAGTATCTTAGAGTTGTGGTGCTAGAGGAGAGTACTGAATAGACTGCTAAGAGAACAAACAGGCTCATCCTAGACAGGGTGAAACCAAGCTTCTCCTTGGAGACAAAAATTTTGAAGCTTCATCTGACACACCCTGGGCATGTTGCAAGGAGGGACCAGTCCTTGGAGAGGGATGTCATGCTTGGAGTGACATTGCAAGAGAGGAAGACCCTTGATGTGATAGAGTGACTCAGAGACTGGATAATGAGGGAGGGTATGTCAGAGAAAATGAGGGTAACTCAAGAGAGAGTAGGGTTCAGAGCTGTTATACATACAGTTGCTATGCATCTCAAGTAACTCGACAGCACATAACAACATGAAAAATATGTTTAAAAGTAATTAAAGGCAAGAATGTTTATATTGGCTAGAAGTTATTTGCTAGTTTCTATTTTTAAGTGTTTCTTATTTTTGCAAATAAATGCTTTATTTAAAATGGATTTTTCTATATTCATTAAGGAGCTCTGCATTCATGATGGGCCATTGATGAAAAGGTTGGTGGTTCAACTTGATCTGATAGGAGAAAGATAATTCACTCTGCTGTATAGATATACAACATTGGAAGGTGTGGCCTGGCTAGCTCAGTTGGTAGAGCATAAGACTTTTAACTCAGGGTTGTGAGGTGGACACATTCTGACTGCATCAGCAGCTTCACCGAAAATAAGTGTCAGTAACCTCCCTTGAATTTGATGCTTAGCTTTGGGTTGATTCTGACTCAGTGAGAGTTAGAGAAATGCTTTAAAGGTGAAACATTCTTTATTTAATAAAAATATTACTTTCTTGGAAAAAATATATATAATAGCAGAAACCCAGTGGAGGGTTGGCATGAGTCAGAATCAACTCAAATGCAAGTTTATATTCATTACTACAAAGTAATTTCTTAGTTATTAAACAAAATGCAATACCCAACCCAACCCACCAGAGCCGAGTCAATTCTAACTCCTGGCAACACTCCATTGGGTTTCTGAGGCTGTAAATGAGGAGATTACTCATCTGTTCCCTGCAGACACCTGGAAGACTTGGCCCTTTGGGTAAATCACTCAACACAAAATGCCGTACAACATCTTAGCTTTTCGTTACTAAATATTCATTTTATGGGTTGCCTAGGATTAATTTTTTCTTAATTTCCTCTTTCTTTTTATTGTCTTGCCATTTGCTTGTAGCAGGCCCAGAACAAACTCAAGAAAAGGAGACAAAATTGTGCCCCAAATGGTCAACTTTATTTTGAAGAAGAATGAGCTAAATGAACCTGTTTTACTACATATAAAATATCAAGCCTTTTTCTAAAACAATAAGGATTAAGATAATGTGGTTACAGACCAGACATAGACAAATACACCAGTGGACTAGGACCAAATGCTTGTACATGACAGACATAGCCTTGTAGGAACAATAAGGAAGTGTTAAGTGGTGCTGAGCTGTTGGTTTTAAAGATGGCCTCGGGCAGGTTGGGGGTGGGGGGATGCCAACAGATCCCTACCCAATACTAATCACAAATAATAATCCCAGATGATTAAAAGAACTAAATGTAAAATGCAAAATGGGAAACTGTTATATGAAAATACTGAAGACTATCTTTATGACCTTGAGTTAGGAAATATTTGGCAGACAAAATTTAGACAGACAATCAAAAAAAAAAAAAAAACAAACCAAAAACACCCACCCAGAAAACATATACACAAAAAACCCAATACATACAAAACAAACAAAAAACATCCAAAAGAAAGCAAACTTATTGTCAAGTTGCAACTAAGTTAGTTGGTTTTTTTTTTTAAGATAATGTTAAGTTTAATCTGCCAAATATACAAGTTGAGTTTGTAGAGAGTTAGTTGGTTTTTAGAGGCAATAAATCACATGGGAGATGATTGCCTATCTTTCTCCCAAGGAATAGCTGGTAGATTCAAATCAAATGTCCTTAAATTAGAAGCACAATTCTAATTGGACACCAAAGCTTCTGTAAAGTAAAAGACTGAAAAAATTTTAGCATATGAAAACTCAAAACATTTGCATATAGAAATTCACCACAAGTAAACTACAAAGATAAATCACAGACTGACAGAGATATTTGCAAGGGAAATAAAAGAAAGGATTAGAATTCAATACATAAAGAACTTCTAGTAGGCAATGAGAAAAACAATTCTCTCAATAAAAAACACAGGCAAAAAAACATAAACAAGTATTCCAAATGAAATGGTGGTTCAGATTGGTTAATAAATACTCAGTCTGACTAGGAACCAAAAAAGCAAACCCAAATGTAAAAGCAACAGGAATTCTTTCCCTGGATGGCACAAACTGTTAAGTACTTGATAACTAATTAAAAGATTGGAGGTTCAGACCCCCACAGAGTTGCCTCAGATGACAGATTTTTGCAATCTGCTGCTGAAAAGTCACAGGTTTGAAAACTCTATGGTGTACCTACACTGTCTGCACTCATTGGCTCACTGTGAGCTGCAATCAATGAAAGAGCAATAACAGCAGTGTATTTCTTTGTAAAGCTGTTAGACAATCTTTAGAAAGTAGAAAATGGTAATATACATATGGGTTGTACAATATATATGACATGTATTATATCATACAAGCACATATATGTATATAAATTCACATATATGATCCACATAGATTATGAACTTACAGCTGTAGAGTCAGAACTGCCCCTCCATTGGGTTTCTGAGACTGTAAATCACATGGGCAGAAACTCCTCATCTCACCTCAAGGAGCTGCTGGTAGATTTGAACGAGCAGAGAGGTAAGGCCTTGGGGTTAGCCATACAACTCCCTACGGATTGCACTACCAGACCTCCCAGTGATTATGAGGGAAGGGAGGAAAGCAAGTTAGAGATGAGTCCACATGGCATATTATTACTTATTTGAAGCTTGATGCTGCTGCCAGTTGTCATTCTGTGACTTCTGACTTGTGACAGCCCCAGGTGTGCTGAGCAGAATGGACCCTGACAGTAGTTATCTTTCAGAAGCGGATCTCATGCCTGTCTTCTGAGGATCCCCTGTGGGAGTTTGAACTGCCAAGCTTTTAGCTAGTCTTCAAACACTTAACTAGTTAGGTACTCCTATGTGAAACATAAAAGTATGTGAAATGTACAGTTACATAATAAAGAAAAGAAGGTCAATGATTCTATCAAATTCAGAATAGATGTTTCTGTGGATGGGGTGGGTAGGTGGGGCATGCAGGGTACTTCAGCTGTGCGGGCAATGTTCTGTGTTGAATGGTGAACTAAGAGATCATTGTAATATCAATGTTTATAGTGTTCTACATGCCTGCTTGCAGAAACTGAGGAGGACCTCATGCACTTGCTGCGAAGGGTCAAGGACTGCAGCCTTCAGTACGGACTAAGGCTCAATGTCAAGAAGACAAAGATTCTCGCCACTGGACCAATTAGCAGCGTCAGGATGGATGACAAAGAGATTGAGAGTGTTCAC